GATGTACTTTTAGTGTCTCAAAGCTCTCGTTGCCGTGACTATGACCCTCAGTCCAGGCGTCGTCTTCCTTGAACTGCTCGCACCTGGGATTTCACGGGTTTAGGGTTTAGGGTTTGGGGTTTAGGGTTTAGGGTTTAGGGTGTAGGGTTTAGGTTATAAGAACAACCAGAGCCCTATGGGAGACTAACCGTTCAGATATACTGCATCTGGTTAGGCGCGTATTGCCTGAGCCCTAAACCCAAAACCCGAAACCCCAAACCCTTAGACCTAAGTGCCAAAGCCTAGATGGACCCTGGTTCAACTCTTCGGTCTCCCTTACAGGCCGTCTTCAAAAACGCGCCGCATAGATGCAGTTAGTACTTCTAAGATGGGACGGGAATAGTCCGGCTTTTGTCAATGAACAGTACCTAAAGCCCATTCCCTAAACCCACAACCCCAAACCGCAGGGGGGCCTAGTTTGACGCAGCACTGGTGCCCCAAAGAGCACAAAGCAACCAGGTGGCTCGCACACCCACAAGGCCTCCCAGTGTCCGCAGCCCTCAACCTCGTAAATAACTCCCATAACCCCCCACCCCACTACAGCAACAACGACAACAACTCAAGACCTCTCAACCCTAGACCCGAAAGTCTCAACCCTAAACCCTAAACCCTAAACCCTGAAGCCCTGAACTGAGCTCTGCACAAGATCTTCAGGATCTGCTTGCACGTGTCTGCGGGGTCGCCGCTGTCGGGCCGGACAACCAGGCGGCCAAAACTGTCTCCGGAAATGCGACCTGAAGATTCAGGGTTTAGGGTTTAGGGTTTAGGGTTTAGGGTGAAGATTCAGGGTTTACAGGGTTTAGGGTCCCAAGACTTGCGATCAAATCCCGTGATTGCATGCCTTCCACTGCGAAAAATGTAGTACTTAAGCTCAGCGGTTCTTCGTAGGGACTTCCCTACTCATAACTAGCTCTCTTATAGGAACCCAATCTGAAATCCGCAAGCCATCCTGTGCCATTTATCATGGGTTCGCTTTGTCTTCATAGCCGGGCTTTGGGTAAACAGATGCCGATGTGCGTTTTAGGGCCTAGGGTTCAGGGTATAGTGGGGCCGAGGTGCCTCTACCTTACTACATTGCTCTGGATCCTTTTGCCGCAACATGTCGTATACGTACTAGTATATACACATATACATGTGTGTTAACATCGACTTGTGTATATGTCAAACATCACATACAGCAGTTTCGTATACAAGTTGAGAGAGACCAACACCCTCTCACAACAAATCAGCGCTCGTGGTGTAGACCCCAAGCCCCAAACCCTGAACCCCATGGAGCCCTGGCAAGATCTAGAGTCCCCAAAATACCCCAAACCCCGTAGACGATAGCCTACTGGGCAGCCGAAATTCAAACCCCTAAGCCCCTGAACCCTCAACCCCTAAACCCGCAAACCCTGAACCCTAAATCCACTAGTACTTGCACATTGGGTTTTCTGCAGGAAACACCGACGACTCTGGGGCACCGGCCCTTGATCAGATCCTTTAGCTTGTCACCCCAGTAGTCCTCTGGGGAGCTAAAGGGGGGGGATTTAGGCTGCAGCTTTTGGGGTTTAGGGGTTTAGGGTGTGGGGTTTAGGTTTGGGGTGTAGGGTTTAGGTTTGGGGTTTAGGGTTTAGGGTTTAGGGGTATGGGTTTAGGGTATTGGGGCTTTAGGGTTTAGGGGCTGGGGTGAGGGTTATGGGGCTTTAGGGGTCTAGGTGATGTAGGCTTCAAGGCAAAAAGAAGCGGCCCCAAGAACGTGGCATTAAGGGCCTCGGGCTTCTTTATGGAATTACGGGCACAGTCAATGACCGACCTGTGCGGAAGTCCATGCACCAACAGGGTTCCCTGTTCTTCGACAAGCCTTCTTTAACTTTCCTGAACCCTAAACCCTAAACCCCAAACCCTAAACCTAACCCTAGTCAACTGCAGCTGCTGCCACGTCCTTGCACGCCTTGAAGACATCGAAGGAGTCGCTTACCTGAGGTCCCGCCAGGTTTCGGAAGATCAAGTTTTTGACTCATGAGCGACGTTTTGCTAGAGTTGCATGGTCACAATCTAATTCAGCGCCATTGCAATCACAATCAGTTGAACTTCAGGCCAGCGACGCAGGCCACCAGCCCTGTAGGGTACTGGGTCAGCATGTTCTTCATCGCATCGACCTGACTCCGAGAGAAAGAGAGAGAGAGAGAGAGAGAGAGAGAGCGAGAGAGCGAGGGCGAGAGAGAGAGGGAGGGAGAGAGAGGGAGAGAGGGAGGACGTGAGCTAGGGTGACCCGAGACTTTCCCGTGCCCTACGAAGCCACGGATCCTACATCCGAAGCACTCCGGCGGCATGTCCAGCGATAGGCAAAAGGTTCTGCTCTGGAGCTGCATGGAAACCGTTCTCTTTGTCTGGCCGAAAGCTTACGAGCCAAAAGGTTACCTTGCATTGCACAGGGGGGGGGAGTTAAATACCCTAAACCCTTATAGACCCTAAAGAACCCTAAACCACCCTAAACCCTAAACCCTAAACCCTAAACCCTAAACCCTAAACCCTAAACCCTAAACCCTAAACCGTCGTGATCCAAAACCGAACGCCTCGCCGTCCACGCCCCATGAGGTGATGGTGGAGTGCTCGGAGGCCGGAATGGAGAATCCGCATGCCCTCCTCGGAGCGAGCTTTCAGGGTTTCTGGTTTAGGGTTTAGGGTTTAGGGTTCAGGGTTTAGGGCTTGAGGATTTAGGGTTTAGGGGTCTTTAGAGTTAACCCGGAACTAGGGCTTCTTGGGGGCGGTGTGTGGGCTTGGTGCGAGTCCCTATCAAGTCTACAATGTTCTAGACGGCAAGCCTTGATTCAGGGATAAGGCTTCCTAAATCCCAAACTCAGAGCTCTGAATCATACATTGAACTGTGCTTGGTGTTTGAGATTTGAGAGTCGAGGGCATCACCGAGCCACCTGAAAAAGTCAGGGCCACCCAATAGCCCCCACGAGCTGACAAAGACCCTTGCACCAGACAAACTTATGAACTCGAGGAGGGCTAGGATGTTCCCCCCTATACCAACAGTCCTTCATAGGGATTTTGATAGGGGGTACCAGAATCCCTGCTAAGGAAGAGCTCTCAACGAAGCAAGGCACTTTTGGAGAGGGGCAATCAGTATCAGTAGGGTTTGTCTAAACGTCTAAACGGTAAACCACACGCACCACATTTCGTGAGCTCAGGCTTAAGGCCTACCTGCGACCCTATTTGCCTACAGATCAGTAGTAAGTGCCCCCCCCAAATCGTAGGTACAACCCTTAAAGTTGTAGGTAAATTGGGTGAAAGGTAGGCGCCGTAAGACGACCATGCCAAGGTTCGCTGAGGAGTAGTACTTCTTGCAGCAAAGCAGAGCGGCAACCGTGTCGGTGCCCAAGAAATTCACCAAGTGACCAGCCTCTTCAAGACGTTCGGTGGAAAAAGGTGCTCAAGAGAAGCGCTTTAAACACAAGGCTTAAGTCTAAAGCATCAGGGACATACTTTGAACAAAAAGGATGGCTCCGCCCGTAGGACTTCCTCACAGGAACCTTGATGAGATTCCTTGCCGTAGCTACAGCCTGCCTTCGGGACCAAATGAACCCTTCACCTAGGGTTATACCCTAGACTACTATAGATCCTACTACGGTGTATGAACCATAAGCCCCTCAGGGTTCATGTAGTCACCAAGAATACAAAGACTGAGGGCCCGCAGCACTCGCTTGTGCCCTCCCTCGACCCGGCTCTCTCGCGTTGCCTCTTCCGTGTCACTCACGGGTATACTGCCAATGGTACTTGGTCCAGAAAGGACAGCTCATCTTAACACAGAGGCCCTATTCCTCCAAGCTTTGGGAACTGACTGCTCCCGACAATTGGGATGAACGCCTACTTCGAACCCTTTTCCAAGGAAGTATGCGGACCACAAACCCTGAAGGCTTCATGTATTAACTGTATCCGCGGGGTTTGGGTTTAGGGTTTAGGGTTTAAGGTTTAAGGTTTAGGGTTTAGGGTTTAGGGTTTAGGGTTTAGGGGTTTAGGGTTTAGGGTTTAGGGGTTCAGGGTTCAGGGTTTAAGGTTTAATTAGGGTTTAAGGTTCAGGGTTGAGCGATCAGGGTACAGGTGACAGGGTCTAGGGTTTAGGGGAGCAGCGTGCAGAAGTTGAACTAAGAAGCCCCTCCGATTGCCGCAGACTCCACGGAGGAAACCCCGCGGAAGCCGAAGTCGTGCAACTTGAAGCAAGATCCTGAGCGCACCGGTAGATTACCCTTGCCGAGAAACCGGGTTCGGGGTTCGGGTTCAGGGTATTACTCTTGCCGAGAAACCTGAGAGTAGCAAACATCTGTGACCCATATGGTCAGTTCCCTACAATATGGTCCCTTTTGGGGTCCTTATTTTGAGGCGGGCCCTCTTATTTAGGGTGCCCACAAGGGACCATAATGCTGAGAACTGACCATATCTCTCCAGAAGAGCATGAACAGGCACAAGGACGAACAGAGGTGTGGAAGAATGCTTCGTGCTCCCAGTCCCAGCCAAAATCTTCCCACAGACCCAGCCCTCAACCCCGAAATCCACAGGTCTCTGAAATTCTGAACCCCAAAACCCCTATAAACCCCCATAAACCCCCATAAACCCCCAGAAACCCCCAGAAACCCCCATAAACACCTATAAACCCCTATAAACCACTATAAACCCCTATAAACCCCTAAACTCTAAACCCTAAAACCCTAAACCCTAAACGCCAGGCCCGGCTCCACCGGGGATGCCCCATTCGGTGTTGCCGGTCTCCTCGAGGGCCTCATCGCGGCTTGGGCGCTGAGGTCTTTTGGGGGGGTTTAGGGTGTAGGGTTTTTGGGTTTTGGGTTTTGGGTTTAGGGTTTATAGGGTTTAGGGTCAGGGTTTTAGGGTCTGGGGTTTGGGGTCTCGGGTTTAGGGTTTAAGGGGTTCATAGTAGCATGGGGTGAATAGGGTCAATAGGGCTAATAGGGTTAAGAGAGTTAATAGGGTTTAGGGTTTTTTTGGCTCTCGCCGGCCTTGTGAATGGACAGCTTCTGGTAGCGGCTGTTGCTGCAAACGGTCATCGGATACCACACCTCAGGCCCGCGCAAGTAGGTCTCCGACGTGCAACCCCCTGGTTCTCGGTAGGGAATGAGGGAATTATGTAGGGCCCTATTTGTGCCCTTTAAGGGATTATGTAGGGCTCAATTCCCTACTAAGAACCAGCCAGACAAGTCTGAAACGGCTTGAAGTGGCAGTTTGGTATATTCAGAACTTTAAACCCAGCAGAGATGCCCCAAACCCCAGCGTGATTGGCTCAGTGTCTACACCTACCCTAAACCCTAAACCCTAAACCCTAAACCCTAAACCCTAAACCCTAAACCGACATGTTCACTCCCGAGTGCGGGCCTGGACCAAGAGGGTCTCAAGGAAGTTCGTCAACCAGAAGCACTGAGGATCCGTGTTGACCATGGTGAAGAGGGCAGTCTTCGTGGGCACCACCATGCCTCTTGCGGCCGTGATCGCTTACGGAGCTTGGGTTTCGCGGCTCAGGGTTTGCAGTTGTAACCTAAACGCTACATCTAAACCCCACACTCAACCCGAACCCCCTTATAGCCCATAAGCTGCCAAACCCCGACACAACAGAACCCTCACATTCCTGTCGCTGTCGTGCGCTCGGGTCGTCTGTACAGCTCCTGTTGAGCCCATATTGTATTGGGAAACAAGTTCCCAACTTATCGTACCCTGACCCTCAAACCTGGACTCGGCATACATATGAGGCATAAAATCAAAAGAGGCCCAACCTTCAAAAACTCCCGACACCCTAAACCCTTAACGTTGTAAGCCCTACGACTCAGCAAAAACCCCCGCCGCACCAAGCTCTAAAAGGTTTAGGGTTTAGGGTTTAGGGTTTAGGGTTTAGGGTTTAGGGTTTAGGGCTAAGTAGGTTGTAGTAAGTATTTTGTGGTTGGGATGTTCCCCCTTATACTAACAGTTCTTAGCAGGACTGTTTGTATAAGGGGGAACATCACAAATTTGGGGGCTATGGGTACCCATGTACCATTAAACCCTAAACCCTAAACCCTAAACCCTGAACCCTAAACCCTAAACCCTAAACCCTAAACCCGAAACCCTAAACCCTCTGCCAATGCTCCCGAAGAGCCTTCAGGGAGGGCCTTGATCTCAATCGGAAGCTTTCCTGTCAGGTCAAGGTCCCCTGAGGTAGAGTTTAGGGTTTAGGGTTTAGAGTCTGGGTTTATAGGGTTCAGCCTGAGAAAGATCCTCCTAAACCCAGTAAGGGAAGACATCAAACAAAAGAAGCTTCAAACCTAGTTATGAAACCCTAAACCACCCTAAACCCCTTGTATAGAGCCTAAGCAAGATTAAGCATCTCGATTGGCAGATTGGAAAAGAGCTCTTTCCGGCTCCAGGCAAGCAGTTCCCATTCGTTGCAAAACCGGCTAGGGAGCCACAATTTACATGAGGCAAAACCGGCTAGGGAGCCACAATTTACATGAGCCAACATATACAATGGACAGCGATGAACGTGAAAAAACATCACAGTTTACCACCAAACTCGCTGTGGGAGGAGCCGGGGGGAATTTGGCAGGATTCTTGCGGTTTCGAATAGTGGCGTAAAAAAGCCCCCTAACCCCAAACCCTAAGCCACGAGAGCCCCTGCCTCCATGGTTCTTGAGGATGTATTCGAAGCCTCGCTGTGCCGATGAGTTTAGGGTTTAGGGCTTAGGGTTTAGGGTTTAGGGAGTTTACGATCTCAGGGGGCACCATGGGCCCGTTTTATCTACTGCTTGCTTAAGAAACCCCCAAAAAATGAAAAGCAACAATCCCTGTATTACCCTTATAAGGAAGTTTTTTTTTGTGGGGGGGGGGGGGGGGGGAGGGTTACAACTGGTAATTACCTTATATACCCATCAAAATTAAGGGCCCATGCATGGGGGGTTCCGAAATTAGGGTAGCTTATTGGGGTCCCGATTAAAAGGGGCCCCTACTACTTGGGGGGGTCTATTAGGGGCCCCCTTATCATCGCAAACTTCCAGATGAACCGGCGCAAATTGTTTTCCGTCCTGGGTCTTCTTGATGAACAGCCCGGTTGAACGGTTTTGCGGGGTTTGGGACTTGGCTTGTGCTCTTCGAGCATGCCAAAATGCGGCAAAGCGGCCTTCCTTATAGAAAAGACCATCACCTGCCAAGGCGAGAGAGAAGAGTTTAGGGTTTGGGGTTTAGGGTGTAGGGTTTAGGGTACGTCCCAGCCTGGTTAAGGGTTTGGGGCCCCCGACCTCCTGGCCTAAGATTTGCAAAGGCGCTGAAACGGCAGGCTTAAAGTTTAGTGTTTCAAAAAGGGGTGGGAGCGGCTTCGAGCTGAATACAGGGATCCAAAAAGCTATCGGAATCTTAATCCTCTTATCAAACCCTGCATATGAAAAAATGGTCCAACCAAAGTCTGAAAAAATAGGCCCCTGTCTTCATGGGTTTCCCTACTAGGTCCCTCTAAACTACCATATAAGCAAGGCTATTTGCGCGTAATGAAGCCTAACTCTGGCTATTTAAGAGGGGGAACCCAGGGGGGGGTTGTAGGAAGCCCATGATGTCTGTGCTAAGCCGTTTTTCATTTTATGCTTTCTGTCAATCGACCCCCCCCATTTACCTACAGATTCGCTGTAAGCTGCCCCGTATTTAGTAGGGTATAACCCCCTAAAAATGTAAGTAAGCACCCCCTATTTAGTAGGGATGATTCTCAAAACTGTAGGTAAATAGGGTCCCAGGTATGGTCTGAAGCCGACACGCCTGAACGCACCGGGCATGTCCCAACATCGGTTTTTGGTGGCACCCAGACCCCCCGGTAAACCCTAAACCCTAAAAACTAAACCTTAAACCTCAACCGTAAACCCTCAACCCCAAGCCTATTTGGAGGCTGTGTGCTTGGGCAAATGAAAGCTGCAAAGCCCCGAAACCTTGAACCCCGAAGAGTCCAGACGCTGAAATCCGAAACCCCAAACCCTCGGACTCTCAACCCTAAACCCTAAACCTCCTGAACCCCCTAAACCCTACACCCTGAACCCTAAACGCTAAACGCTAAACCCAAACCCTAACCCCTAACCCCAAACCCCACCTAAACCCTAAACCCTAAACCCTAAACCTCCCCTAGCACCGACCTTGAAAGTGCTCCGAGCAGAGCCTCGGTTGTTCGCTGGCAGGGCTTCAGGGCTCTTGGGAACTCTTGGGGTTTTGGGTTTGGGGTTTAGGGTTTTTTTTAGGGTTCAGCAGGGTTTAGGGTTAGGGTTTAGGGTTGAGGGTTGAGGGTTGAGGGTTGAGGGTTTAGGGTTTAGGGTTTAGGGTTGAGGGTTTAGGGGTTGAGGGCTTTAGGTTGAACCAGGGTTGGGGTGCTGCTGCATTTCCCTTGCCCCTGACTCTGAGAAGCTTCGGGCGCTTTGAGGGCGTCGGGTTCCCCAACTCCACACCACGTGAGATACGATCAAGACTCCTGATTTCACCCTAAACCCTAAACCCTAAACCCTAAACCCTAAACCCCATGCGGAAAGCCGAGGCGAGGACTCGGCGGCCTCGTCGATCTTCTCGCGAGTGATGACCTCAGCTGCAGCTCTGACTTACATCATATGCCATATAGTATGCTATTAGGAGATGAACATGTTAGAAATACATTCTGTAATATGTGGTAGAATATGATGATTAAGATATACACATATGTGTGTATATATTACGCAATATGCTATATAAGATAGTGTATCATATCTTATTCATTACTATTGGTGATCGATATATTAAAAATAAGAGAAATATAGCTTCTTGCGCTTCAGCCTGAGGTTGGTTCCCCCCTACACGAGCACATGCGGGCAGGAGCATGTTCTGTTCAGTAAAGGATGCCCTTAAGCGCAATGCCCTAAACCCCAAACCCCCTACTGAAGACTAGTGTATCATATCTTATTTATTACTATTGGTATATATAAAAATAAGAGAAAAGTAGCTTCTTGCGCTCCAGCCTGAGGTTTCTGCAGAAAATAGATGTAGCTCATAAGGTTAAGGCGTTCCAACGCCTACTGCAGAGTCTGAAGTCGCAGACACCGAGTGCTAGCTGAACCGGTGGCTGGTATGGCCCTTAACACCTTCTGGACAGTATTCCTAAACATAACGCTCTTATACCCTCTGGACAGTATTCCGAAACATAACGCTCTTAAATAAAGAGAGAGGCCCGGTAACCCACACGCCGTTTTTCCTCTAAGAATAAACTAGTCTACATAGCCCGTGAAACAGCCGTTGTTCGCCATCACGTGACTATCTCGTGATCGCTAGTCACGGCTGTATCGCGTGCTATGGGTTATATATCGGAACATCTAAAACGAGGTAGCCAAACTAAACACAGGGGTAACCGCAAAACTGTCATTGTGAAACACAATAAGGAGAATATGATAGAATATGTATCACATCACAAGGGCCTACCTACCGATTGGAAAGCTAATCTGGGTCAGCTGAAGGTCACCCGAACGAAGTGGTCGCCAGGGCCCGGGTAACGAAGATTGTATGATTACGCAGACCCGCAATAACATCTATGTCGTGACGACGCAGTGAGGGTCTGTCCTTCGTCCGCAAGGGGTTCTAAGTCTAAGTGCATGCCAATAACAGAAGGAAACCGAGCATGCTGATATCTTTGCAGCTCACACATCGCAAAAAGCTGCAACGCTGCCTGGCCCATCAGGTAACGCTTGATGAAGTACTGGAGGCCAAAGAAGCACACCTCGGAAGACTATCCTAAACCTTAAACCTTGGGATGTTCCCCCTTAATAGCCCTAAACTAAACCCTGAACCTTACAACAGTTCCGAAAACAACCTAAGCTCATGATCCAGACGCTTGCTGATCGTCTGGAGCCTCAAATTGAATTGCACCAGGACCATGTCCATTTCTCAACTGCTCATTAGAGTTTAGAACTTAGGGTAACAAGGACAAGCCCTCAGCTGTACCCTATGTCCGGCCCTAGCTTTGGGGTTTACTGTGCTTTGGGTTAAGGGTTCTGAGACATATGAACCCTAAACCCTAACCCTAAACCCTAAACCCCAAACCCCAAACCCCAAACCCGAAACCCTAAACCCTAAACCCTAAACCCTAAACCCTAAGAAACCGTCCAAGCCACGTCATTCCAGCCCTCGCGGTCGCAGCCACGGCTCTCGAAGTAGCTGTAGACCTTAGACCGGCTTGTCGCTCAGGAACAGTTTAGGGTTTAGGGTTTAGGGTTTAGGGTTTAGGGTTTAGGGTTTAGGGTTTAGGGCTAGGGTCTAGGGTTTAGAGCTTCAGGGCGTTTGGGGTTTAGGGTTTGGGGGGTACTAAGGTTTAATTCAGGGCTTTAAGGGCTTGGGTTCCTGCATCAAGCATAAGAGGGAAGGCACCTCAATCACATCCATCAAGAGGTTGAGGCTCATGGGTTTAGAGAGGTCAGGAGTTGGGCAGTTGCCAAAAATGATGCTCCCGTGTG